CGGCCCCCGAAAACCTATTCTTGTGATTGATTTTGCGTCATGTTCGGTGTGAAATTAGGTGGTGTTTTGCTGTTTCGGCTGTGTTTTAAAAAATGTCTCTGGCTGCTGGTTTCTTGCTTTATTATAGGTAGCAGCAGCAGTCAAAATTTGAGAAAAAAATTGGACACAATTGGATTTCTAGTAATCTAGTAGGATTTCAGAAGGGACGTTTCGGCCCCCGGGAAGCTTGTTATTGCAACTGGCTTCCGGGGAACTTGTGATTGCGACTGCTTTTGCGTCATTTTCGGCACGAAAGTCGGTGGTGTTTTGGTTTCGGCTATGTTTCGCAAATGGTGTTAGGCTGCTAGTTTCTTGCTTTAGACAGCAGCAGGAGTCAGGATTTCTAGTCGGAGTTCAGAAGGGCTGTTTCGGCCTCCGGGGAATTTGTTATTACGACGGATTTTACGTCATTTTTGGCATGAAATTAGGTGGTGTTTTGCTGTTTCGGTTGTGTTTCGAAAAAGGTGTCTGCAGTAGCAGCAGGAGCAAGAGCAGCAGCAGCCAGCAGCCAGCAGCAGCCAGAGCCAGTAAGCAGGCAGCAGGCAGCCAGTTGTCAGCAGCCAGGAGCCATCAGCCAGTAAGCAGGCCAGCAGCAGGCAGCCAGCAGGCAGCGGGTAGTAGCCAGCAGACAGTAGGAGCAGCAGCTTCCTTGCTCAATAACAACAACAGCAAAATAGCAACAACAACAACAACAACAACCAGCACCAGCACCTGCACCACCACCACCACCACCACTACCAGTAGCAGCAGCAGCGGTATTGGACACAGTGCAGGAACATAACAAACTGCAAGCGGCATTGGACACAGTGCAGGAACATAAACTTGATGGTAGCAGTATCAGCAGCAGCAGCACTAGCAGCAGCAGTCAAAATTTGATTCTATTGGAGTTCTAAGCGGATTTCCGAAGGGACGTTCCAGCCTCCGGGGACTGTTATTGCAACTGCTTTTGCGTCGTTTTCGGCACGAAATTAGGTGGTGCTTTGCTTCATTACCGAACCGCACGAAATTAGGTGGTGTTTTGCCGTTTCAGCTGTGCTTCGAAAAAGGTGTCTGCAGCAGCAGCGGGAGCACGAGCAGCAGCAGCACGAGGAGCAGGAGCACGAACATCCGCAGCAGCAACAACAACATTAACAACAACAACAACAACAACAACCACAACGACAACAACAACAACAGCAACAGCAACAGCAACAACAACAACAAGAAAAACAAGAACAAGAACAACAGGAGAAGAAGAAGAAGAGGAGGAGGAGGAGGAGGAGAAATAATTGTTTAAATCTAAAAACTTACTTTGCGCCGGCACTGGTCCACTGATATGTTTTACAATATCGTCCTGTGTCATTTCTGTGTTTCGATTGGATTCGTCCGTGTGATTTTGTTGATGCCACCTTCGTGTTGCAGGTCGGGCAATAATGGGCATACTGCCTACATACTGCACCATTCTTGACACGAAACTCTCGCCCGCAGTGTCCTTGTGTTTGCACCTTTCCGGTAACTATGGTGGATTTTGTAGCTTTGCCGCAAGCTGGACAGACATACGTTCGTAGTGTGGTATTTGTTCCTTCTTGGCATCCTTTCGTGTCCTCTTTTGTGGTTTCTGGCAAATCGATTGCAGTGGTGGCTTTCTCCTCTTTAGCGCGCAAGTTCTCGGCAATTGATTCCCACGTTTCGCGCAGAATTTGGCGCAGGCGAAGCCTTTTGCGCAAAGGTTGTAGACGTTGTAAGCTGGATCGGGCAGCCTGCTTACGGAGAGTCGCTTGCACGACAAGGGCACGGCAAGCATTACACGTTTGCCTGCCATTCTGGCCGCCGCCGGGGCGCATGTTGCTGTAATGGGAAAATTGTTGCGCTGGCAATTTTCGGTGGCAGTGTGCGCATTTCCATTTTCCCTTTTTTTGACAATGCAAGCATACCCTCCTCTCTGGTTTGCTTGCTTTCCATGCTGGCACAGTGAAATATTCTTTTGTGAGCTTCTTCGTGCAAGAAAAACATTGTTTCATTGCATCACACGATAAGCAAACTCTGTAAAGACTCCACCGCGGATTTTGATGCTTGCTTGCAAAGTGGCATGCAGCGTGCCAGAGGCCGCACTGTGTGCAGCGGTAGGGTGTGCCTGCCTCGCGCTTCTGCGCGGTGCATTCTTTGCAGACGCGGTAGGTTTCCTGTTTCCATTGTGCTTTGGTGAACGCATCTTTGCGCTTCATCTCCCCACATTCGTAGCACGGCCTTTCATCCAAGTACTTCTTGCGCAACGCGTCCCAGTCCACCGGCTCCTGTTTCCACACATCAAGCAGCAGTTGCCGTCCAAGCGGCAGACCTGCTTGAAAAGGTGCCAGCGGGAACGGACGGTAGATCAAGATCTTCTGTCGTGTGCGGATCCGCGTCATCCCAATGTACGCCGCTATTGGGTCAGCACCGACCATGTCAACGATCACGCCCGGCTCTATTGTGCTTCCTTGCGCGCCGTAGAACGTGTCAGCGAAGTCGGGCGCGATGGGAAATTGGCACCGGGTGACTTTCAATTGTGGGTTGGTGCGGCCCGCGTCCAAAAACCACATTCCACTTTGCACGCTCACTGGGAAGACGTTCTCTTGATCGATGCCTGGGATAGTCCACCGTGTGCGTGTTTCAAAACGCACAAAGATATACTCGGGAAGTTTGTTCCAAATGACTGCTCCATCTGCCGACGCTGTTTCTGTTTCAACGCGAGACCACCCGCAAACTGTTCCATGACACCCTTTCAAAATCTTGAACTCCTTTCGGTAGAGATGTTCTCGCGCTTGCACTGGCATACCAATGCACAGTGGAAGGACGCCGTACCGGTTGCCGCAGTCAGCGTCGCTGCGCTGCAGCCACATGAGCTTGTCGTGGGCAATGTCGGGTTTCTCGTGCAAAGCGCGCGATGAAACTTTGTCCGTAGCCACTGCATAGTAGATGACTTGCCCGCGCTGTCGCGCCCATTGTTCTGCGCGCAATTTATTTACGTGGCACTTCACCCCGTTCGTGTGAAAAATCCCCCGCGCCATGCTGAAACCTTCTACGAAGCGAGGATCGTCTGCGTCCACGGCAACTAGACGCTTGGTATCCCGCTCAGCATGACAGATTGGACATTCGTACTTGAGAATCGCTGTCGCTGTGGAGGCGTTTTTGTACAACTGATAACATATGTTTTCTTGACACATAGGCCGTTGCGTCCTAGCGCACCAACTTCCTGGAACCTTTGTTGGTCGACCATGCAAGAATGCATGGTTGTCTTCGGACAAGTGCCCCACGCGAAGTTCTGCTTGCAGGTCCTGGAGCCACACGTCTTGGGTTCGCTCGCAGCGCACCAATTCGGTAACTCCTTGTAAGCCACCCTGTGCGCTGGAGGCCCATACGAGCTGTTGGCCTTGCAAACTCAGTGGCAACTTCTTAGGTGGGACGCCTGTCACAAGGTGCCAGGGAATTTGACCGAGAAACGTTCCACGCGGTGGAGGTAGCTGCCACAGGTCGCCCGAGAGAATGATATTGAGGCCACCAAAGGGTGCAATGCAGTCAGGGGTATGTTTGCCATATTTTGTGGCAGATAGATCTAAAACAAGTTGCCGACAGCGAGCTTCGAGACGCGCTAACATCTCAGCACTCACCATGCTGATTTCGTCGATCAGCAGCCAGCGCCACTGCACGGCCTGTTGTGCAAGATTAAGAATCCTTTGCGCGTCGACGTTGTGATCGTTGCCGTGCCAAGCCAACCCCAATGCTTGATGCATAGTTTCGCCGTCCAAAGGCTCGGCATTGACAGCTTGAAATGCGACAACTTGAAATTCCTTTCCTGCTGTCCATCCAAGGCACTCCTCGAACAAATCGCGCCGTGCTATGTTCAACACGTATGACTTACCTGTGCCTGGGCCGCCATGAAGCGCCCAGCGCAACGCTTCGGTATTGGTGTCTGCCGCGCCGCCGCGCTCTTGTCCGGACACAGCTTCGTGTTTCACCCGGGCGCAGATGGTTTCGATGAATGCTAGCTGTTCCGGATTGCATTTGCTCGTTCCGCGCAAGTCGCGTAGGAAGGCATCGACTTTCTCACATGTTGCTCGTGCCTCGGCTTCGCATGTGCCCCGCGTGGGAATCTTTCGAACTGCAACTTTGTCGGCTTTTTTTGTGTTTAAAGCTTTGATTGCCCGACGAACTGCGGCTGGATCGTGTGCATGGAACGCATTGTTGCTCTGCGTCTTTGTCTTCGTCACGCACATAGCCCTTCGTGCATGATCCTGCATGTGATAATGCATTTGCCAAAGTTTCTCGTCACACAGCTTGCCTGTTTCACCAGCAATCCCCGATTCTTTACCGGGGTCGGCGGCAGGGGCGGCAGCCCTTAAATTTAATATCAATGATGTAATTAAATGGCTATTTGGAGGGTGTTACTAAGGTCTAGCCCATGTTCAGACCAATATCTAATACACATGATCATTTGTCTTTGACTCTGAGACTCTGGCACTTTAAGCGATATTACCTGATGCATATCACTGTATCACAGAAGTACAATACTGATTATTTCAGGTTTTTTCCTGGTTTTTCTGTTGCGTTGTACGGAAAAATAATAAAAAATACCTCCGCCACACTCGCGTTATTGGATCCATCCCAAGGCCACTTATCCAGCATCTTGGGGACCCAGATCTTCCCCGTCTTCGCTTCATCGTCTCCGGTTGGGATGGAGGAGAAATCAATATCTTTCTGGAAAAAACAACCACTGGTTAGACTCAAAGCAATGAGTTCGGCATGCACCTCAGTGCCTTGAAGCCACTCTTCTGATTATGTCCCATTTCATGGCCATTCATTGGGAAAAATTGCGCTTTTTCAAAGAGAGGCGTTGGGACTATTCAATTTTGACTCCAAGTTCTGTTCAAATTCTACCAATCCCATGCTGGCTCCTTTGGTGCCCCCATTTCAACGCAACATCGCGCGGTTTTGCGCCACCGGGCAGAGAAGAGAAAGTGCGCGAAAGACTGCACCCGGCGGATGGCATGAGCCTTGACAGGATCAATGGCTTGGTCATGTCATCCCATCTCTGGGGGGTACCATACTACCATACTTGCGAGTCGCAAGGTGGTGCCAACTAGATTGAATTGGAAATTGGTCCGCACACTCGAATTCTAGTTTAACCAAATGGGTGCAGACAGGACATTCAAGATATTCAAGACCTCTCTTAAAATCCAAAGATGTTGTTTCTTGCAGTTTTTGAAAACCAAGTTTTGCATATAGTTTTGCCTGCAATCCCATTACCACATGCCTGAGTTCCAGACAATTCTCAAGGCCTCATCGTGTGAGAGTTCGCCCCACATTCTCGCACCTTGGTCTGTCATGTCGGTGTCCCACATGCTGCCCTGGCCACAGCGGCTACTGGGAAGCGCTGGAGGGACAATTGGGTGGCACCACTCAAGTGTAATCGGGGAGCTTGAATTTGTAGTGTGTAAGGGACAAACATTCTTCAACGTTCTTGAGCAACACTGTGATGATGGTTATATAATGTCCATATTTGATGTCTATATTTACTATATTCTACTAAATGTTTTCTGGTTATCCAATGTCTGTTTAGATCTGTCGATAAATATAGACGTGTCCTGCTTGATCTCGTCGATGGATGTCATCACATTGGCGAGGCGTCGCACGTCATCCTGGGACCAACGAATGGATCGTTTCAACGGAAATGGATGGACATGCGGCGAACAATGTGATGCTTGTTCACCATTTAAAAAGAATAGAGGATTGGATTTCATGATTATAAAGTAAATGCTTATTATAAATGGCTTCATTATTATAAAACCCAAAAAATGGCCCTACAAATGCTTATTCTAAAGGTAACGAGACAGATCGGCACAGAATGGGATACCGTGGGACAAGTCAACAACAACCGATACGTAGATTGTACACAATGGAAGATAGCCTCTGGTAATTTAACATAGCTATTGAAAATCACCATTTATAGATATTTATAGAAAATTTTCCCATGAATCATGGTGATTTTCCATAGTTTTTTGTATGTTTACCAGAGGGTAGCTGAAAATGGACCCGATCTTCAGACCTCATACCACCTGTTGCTGGGTCTCCCATGGTACCGTTTCCTCTGGTTTTTTTCCACATTCTCCAATCGTGTCACCGTGGTGATGGGATTCACATATATCGCAAAATATGCGACTACATTATATATACAGTATATATATATATTATATTAAACTAAATATTTAACAGTTGCAAAAAATATGATGTATTAAAAAATATTTAATTGTATCATATGTATTATATTATATCAGACAAGATCAGATCATCTCATGACATTTCATATTTGGTATCTATCTATCCCTCCATCCATCCATCCACTCACATCCCAAATCCAAGCAGTTTGTTTTTACACACAATGAGACAACAACATGATTCCATCTGACAACCCGTGGATGTTTCGCCCGTGCGTTGCTACGTCTTCAATTTTCCAAGGCTCATTACTGGGCAGTTTGCCCATGGCCGAGCGCACGGCTAAGGGCTCCGTCAGTTGATCTAGCTTTTGTAGCAATCCCCAGTACCTGCAGTGACAACTGCCATGTTTCAAACCATCTCCATGGCACTGCTGGACCATGGTTAGCAGGGCCGATATCACTGAAAGATATACAAATCGATGTCATTGTTCTATGTTATACAACCACTATGTCCATAAATGACATGTGAGTATAAGATCATATAAGATCAATACAACATAAGTCCTAAAGCCATCCCTATAGTACCAGAGTCTGGTTGGGTAACCAACTAAATATCCATATAGATAAGTGTGCCCATGACCAATACGGGCACGGGCCGGGCATGAGCCGATACGTCAGCTTTTCGGCTTCCCGGTTGGCACCTGGACAGCGGTTTCGCTGCGGTCAGATTTTTCCATGCAGCAACTACCGAGGATTGGTGGTGTATTTCTCTGAGAGTATCGTTTTCATATCCATCTTCGGAAAGTAGGTTTCAACATGATTCAATTCAAACCCCAATCATTCTAGGTATATACGGGTATTTGAAAGCATCAAATATAGTGGACTTGAGATACAAATATCTCCTGAGAAACAAATCCTCTATATTAGCTTGATATATCCACATCCTGATTCTATATTCTATATCAGCATTGGGATTACGATTACAGTATGTGTTCATCAGTAATAATCAAGCATGTTGTAATAATCAATACTGACTGTATAACTATCATTCATAGTATATTATTGATTATTACATACTCAATACCATATCAGCTGACTATTTGTCATGCCTTTTGTTCCGATGATCCATGCATAGTATTACTATACATATATAGTGGTTATGATAGTAATTATACTATACTGATACTATTCATAGTAGTGATGCTATTATCATATTATCCTAAAATACCATGATCATCAATAATACATACTATTATACTGATTATGATAGTGATATGATACATAGTATTACTATACATATATAGTGATTATGATAGTAATTATACTATACTGATACTATTCATAGTAGTGATGCTATTATCATATTATCCTAAAATACCATGATCATCAATAATACATACTATTATACTGATTATGATAGTGATATGATACATAGTATTACTATACATATATAGTGATTATGATAGTAATTATACTATACTGATACTATTCATAGTAGTGATGCTATTATCATATTATCCTAAAATACCATGATCATCAATAATACATACTATTATACTGATTATGATAGTGATATGATACATAGTATTACTATACATATATAGTGATTATGATAGTAATTATACTATACTGATACTATTCATAGTAGTGATGCTATTATCATATTATCCTAAAATACCATGATCATCAATAATACATACTATTATACTGATTATGATAGTGATATGATACATAGTATTACTATACATATATAGTGATTATGATAGTAATTATACTATACTGATACTATTCATAGTAGTGATGCTATTATCATATTATCCTAAAATACCATGATCATCAACAATACATACTATTATACTGATTATGATAGTGATATGATACATAGTATTACTATACATATATAGTGATTATGATAGTAATTATACTATACTGATACTATTCATAGCAGTGATGCTATTATCATATTATCCTAAAATACCATGATCATCCATAGTACGTACTATTATACTGATTATGATAGTGATATGATACATAGTATTACTATACATATATAGTGATTATGATAGTAATTATACTATACTGATACTATTCATAGTAGTGATGCTATTATCATATTATCCTAAAATACCATGATCATCAATAATACATACTATTATACTGATTATGATAGTGATATGATACATAGTATTACTATACATATATAGTGATTATGATAGTAATTATACTATACTGATAGTATTCATAGTAGTGATGCTATTATCATATTATCCTAAAATACCATGATCATCAATAATACATACTATTATACTAATTATGATAGTGATATGATACATAGTATTACTATACATATATAGTGATTATGATAGTACTTATACTATACTGATACTATTCATAGTAGTGATGCTATTATCATATTATCCTAAAATACCATGATCATCAATAATACATACTATTATACTGATTATGATAGTGATATGATACATAGTATTACTATACATATATAGTGATTATGATAGTAATTATACTATACTGATAGTATTCATAGTAGTGATGCTATTATCATATTATCCTAAAATACCATGATCATCAATAATACATACTATTATACTGATTATGATAGTGATATGATA